GTCTTGTAGTTTGGGGCGGGCTCCTGGGAGCCACCAGCCTGGTCCCGGGAAGAGGAGGAGGGCTGGGTGGCAGCGGGTGGCTGACTCATGTTGTCCCAGGTGCAGGGTCTGCTGGCTGGGTGCTGGCAGGCTTGCACCTGGCATGGGCACCCTAGCCAGACCGTGACCCTTTAAGGGCTCCGGGGTCGGGAGGGGGGGGCAGAAGAGTTTCCCTGGTGGTGCCCAGAGTGGCCACCAGGGCAAGCTGGGGAGGGCTAGTCTCCCACTAGTTCGAATTAAGTGGATACACAGCCCTTAATTTGAACTAGGCGTTAGTCCTCGTAGAATGAGGTTTACCTAGTTCGAATTAAGTTTGAACTAGCGGTTTGCCTGTGTAGCGCCTCTGAAAGTTAATTCGAACTAATGGCAGTTAGTTCTAATTAACTTTGTAGTGTAGATATACCCTGATTCTGTTGCTGTTCTCCAGGTTCCAAAGTCCACTCAAAAAACTTCCCATGGAAATGCAGAGAGTTTTCACTTTTAGTTTAAAAAATAATCAAAATTCCATCTGGACTTACTCAGAATGAAATTGAGGAGTTTCAGTAACAAGAAGCTGGGGAAGCCTAAAAGCCAGGAGATCCAGGCTATGAGAATCCTGGTTTTGCAGCATCCCAAAAAGCAGACAAGCTGAACAGATACACAGATTCCTGCAAAATGTTTCAATTTTAATGAATCCGCATTTTCCAGTAGAAAAATATTCCATCAGAAAATTTCCAACCTGTCCTACAATAAATCAGCTGTATTATGGGATTTACGGTCAAAAACCTGTTAATTCTACTTTTAAATTGCAAAATTTAAAAAAGTGTTTCTTCAAGGCAAACCTATTTATCATACGCATTTGAGAATCATTCAACAAAGACTAAGCATGATTCCATAAAGCGCCTCAGACCATGCTTAAATCCACCCTTAGCAGAAAAGCACTAAAAGCATGTTCTGAATTGTAAGTATGTGCCTGAGTCCATCTGACTGGCTTAACTCAATGCATATGAGCTCTCTCAGGCCCCAAGTGCTTTAAGAAATACATTTAAGAAATTTTAGAATTTGAGATGCATTCATGTCCATTATACCAAATGTGTATACCATTCACATTTAAATGTGAAGATAGATAGATAGATAGATAGATAGATAGATAGATAGATAGATAGATAGATAGATAGATAGATCATCTACATAGCAGAGCTTAACTCGACATAAGCTACACAAATTGAACTATATCAATTGCCAGAGGACAAAAAATTATGGAAAACCCTACTTGCCAGACAAAAAGGGGACTTGCCACCCTTCCCCACAAAAAGTGTTTTTAATGGCATAAATTCCTAATAAGAATAAGAACAGTAATTACTAATATGTTATTAATAAATATCACCCAAGTTATTAATAAATATCTTATAACCCTCTACCTTTTCCCTCTGCTGCCATGTCTCCTCCCCTTGCTCCATCAGCTCCCCAGGTGTCTACTGCCCCCAACCCCTCACCCTCTTCTGCTGTCCTGACTCCTGCCCTTCTCACTGCCCTCAGCCTTCCTGAGACCTTCCCCCCCTCCATCAGCCCTTCTCTCCTCCCTGTGCCCACTCCTCCAGTAGCCCCACTCTGATCATGTGAGCTACCCCTCCTCATCCCTTCTTCTAACACCTTGCTCTACACACCTGCCCTGCCTCTCTCCTCTGGTGCTGGTCCATCCCCTGCAGGTGTCTGCCCTTCTGCTTCACCTCCAGAATCCCCTGGCGCCTGTACCTTCCCTTACCCCTGGACCTGGTGCCTCCCCCTTCCCTTACTGCCCCTGCTCCCTTTTTCCCTGGTGCCCACCCCCTCACCACCCTCTGCCCTCATTCCCCTCATGCCCGTGCCCTCACACATGCTCCATCCCTGCCTTCCTCATGCCTACCCCTTCTTTCAAGCCTTCTCCCAGCACCTCTCCCTTCCCCCTCTAGCCCCCAGTGCCCTTCCCCTCTCCTCTCCTCTCCCAGCATCACCCTGTCCCCCCTCCCACTGACACCTGCCCTCTTGCTCTTTTCCTCATTGTCTCCACTTGGCCCCCTGGCATTTGTCTCTCCTCTACCCTGTCCCTTGGTGCCTTCCCTTTCTTCTCCTGACCTACCCCCTCCCCTCAGCACGAGCCTCTTCCTCTCCCATCCCTTCCTCTTATTTTCCCCCCTTCTCCTCCCATGCCCTCTGTTACCTTACCTTCGGCCTCTGCCTTCCTATTTGCAGGGCTGGAGTCAGAGCCGGCCCAAGCTACAGGCCGGCTGGGCCTTAGCCCGGGGCACCTCAAGGGCACCATGCTGTGCTGCTGGGCTGGGCGGGGACACTCCCGGAAGGGGCGCCACACCGTACTGTGTGCTAGGTGGGAGTGCTCCCAGGTGCCTCAAGGGCACCACGCCGTGCTGCTGGGCCGAGTGGGGGCCAGGGTGCAAAAATGGCTCTGGCTAGCCGGCCTGAGACATTAGGGTGTGCCTGGGCACACCTGGCACACCCCATATGCATGCCTATGGTACACAGCAGGAAATCCTCCCTGCTCCTCAGACCCCACAACTCGTCACCAAGTTAGTACAACAGGCTGGAAACCTGCCTTCCCTCCACCACTTCCCCCTGCTAGTCGCGAGCCTGGGGAGTGTGGTGCATGCATCCTACCCTGCCATGTGCCCACTGGTCACTCCGTCTGGGCCAGGCATGCACGCAGCCCCTGCCTCAATGACTCATGGTGCCTGATAGAGCAGCTGCAATTTTCATAGTGAGAATCTCTTGCTCTCTCCATCGTGTCTCCACAGTTCTTTTTCGGATCGTCTCTCTGGATGAAGACTTCCGTCCCCTCAATGAGAAGGTAGGTCTGATCACCCTCGTCAGCGTCCATGGCTGAGCTGGTGAGCACTGATGATGTCCCCTTTAAGGCCCTTGTGATGCCCGAGGATCTTATTGCTTTTAATGTCCATCTAGAACAACTCTGTAAAGCAAATGATCCCTTCTGACTCACCACATTGTCTTCATAAGGGTCAGATTCTACCATGATTTGCACCCCATTCAGCTTCATTGCCAGAGTGTACCTGGGACAGTATATATCCCTTTGAATTATTATATTATGATACTAGCAGATTTATCTAGCATTGCTTGGGTCCTTAACTCAATTAAGGGGTTTTTTTAATTAAAAGAAAAGTGTTTATGCTTTATTGAAATGCTTATATTTTTCAAAAATACAGTGACATTTTTATTACTTTAATTTTTATTTCAGATTTCTTGAAAAGGAAACTGTTAAAACTTGTCCATTTAATTTTTTTTTTAGACATTTTTAAGAAATGGGAATTCCATCAAGTGTACTTTTTCTTCAGCTCTATAAGCTCTTATCATTCACTATGTTTTAACAAAAAAAGGGCAATAGTCAATGTGGTTTCCAATAACATTGTCTTCTCATTTTCCAACCTTACGCATTGATTTAGCTGTTCCAGAACAGAGCACTGCTCCAAATTTCTCCATTCTATTTCTTTTCTGTAAGGTTTATTGAGAAGCAATCCTATTCTAAGTTCATCCTATTTTCCCAGCTCATCTTGGTTCAGTCTCTTTCAACTTTTGTTCAGTTATGTAAATTTTGAGGTCTGTACTTGATTTGGTGATTCTGTCTCTTTTCTGTTTCGTTTTATGAGAAGCAATCCCATTCTAGGCACATTCCATTTTCCTGGAACACCAGGGGTACGTCTACACTACCCCCCTAGTTCGAACTAGGGGGGGGGTAATGTAGTCATACGGAGTTGCAAATGAAGCCCGGGATTTGAATTTCCCGGGCTTCATTTGCATAAAGCCGGCTGGCACCATTTTTAAATGCCGGCTAGTTCGGACCCCGTGCCGTGTGGCTACACGCTGCACAGACTAGCTAGTTTGGATTAGGTGAAACACTGGAATGAGTTACCTAGGGAGGTGGTGGAATCTCATCCCTACAGGTTTTTAAGTCTCGGCTTGACAAAGCCCTGGCTGGGTTGATTTAGTTGGGATTGGCCCTGCTTTGGGCAGGGGGCTGGACTTGATGACCTCCTGAGGTGTCTTCCAGCTCTATGATTCTGTGATTCTATGATATGAGGAAAAACTTCCTGCTTGTCAAGATGGTTAAACACTGGAGTAAATTGCCTAGGGAGGTTGTGGAATCTCCATCAGTGGAGATATTTAGGAGCAGGTTAGACAGACATCTGTCAGGGATGGTCTAGATGGTGCTTGGTCCTGCTGGGAGGGCAGAGGACTGAACTTGATGATCAGTCGAGGTCCCTTCCAGTTCTAGTGTTCTATGATTCTATAATTCTATTTTATAGATAGATAGATAGATAGATTACAAAACTAGATAGTGTGTAAATGCACCACTGTCCTCTACTGGTTGGAATCTGAAACGCACAGTTATGTGTAAAGTGAGGCTTTTGTTTTGTTACAGACATCTCAGTGGTCACAGAAACTGTGAATTTAAATAAAATCCATGAAAGGTTAGACATGGGTGTAAAAATCCATTGGACTAGCCCCCAAAACCAAGTTGTGCTGCGACCTGGCACGTGACCTGATTCCCCAGTCTCATGCACCCTGCAGCATCGTTGACACCAGAGCAAAGTTGGCATAAACGTTGCCCACTGAGAATGGTCGCTGGGTGCCCCACTTTGCACTGGGGTGAGTGACAGCACCGGGGTGGGCAGCAGTGACTCAGGCCCTGAGGAGACCACTTCTGTCTTAACGGTGAGGCATTTGACTGGGCCTCGAGACCTGGCTCTGCCACACCTTCCTGCACGTTGTACACTGTGATGTCGCTGACACTTCCCCACCCCACAACCTCGCTGTGAGTTTGTGTGCAGGAGCAGGGCTCCCTGAGGAGACATCCCAGCAGCAGGCCCTCACTAATGCTGCAGAGGAGGACATGGAGAATTCAATTGTCACCTGGAAACCAGCCACTTTGCCAAACAGCTGCACGCCGGGGGTCACGTTCCCAGAGTGCCTCAGTGACTTAGAACCCAAGTCCTGTTTGCAGAAGTGACCTGGGCACTCTGGGCCACATTGCCAAAGGGCTGAGGTGCCTACAGACGTAGGTTTAGGCACCAAGAGGAATTTTCAAAAGCACGCAGGTAGGTTAGGAGCCTAGCGCCCATTGGCTGTGGTGGGAACTAGGTACCTCAGCACTTGGAAATTCAAGTAGGTGCCTGTCTGAATTGTTCAGCACCTAAACTCCTTTACAAATCTGCCCCTGAGTCTCACTGACAGTCAGTGGCTCTTTGGCTCCGAAGTATGAACTGCAAGGGGATGTAGGTGCCTGACTCCCACTGAAATCAATGGGCATGAGACACCCAAGTCCCTTTGTCTCTGGGCCCCAGCACCCCAATTGGTTAGGAAAATGCTAATGAGGCATTTGGGTGATTTTGAAATGTTTGCCCTGAACCCCCTAAATGCAGAACGAAATGTTTGATTTCACTGCTGTGTGAAACTGACCAACTCGGGCTGTAAAGCATTAGAAGGCCCTGCTGGAGTTTCTCACTGAGTAACAGGGCGGGGGCAGAGGGGAATGCAGGGGAGCTGCAGAAATCCCCTGAGCAGGACAAATGAGCTCAGGCCATGTCTGACCTGTGTTTCTGACTCTGCTTCTCCCTGTTCTCCCCACAGTTTCCATTGGTCTTCATCAAGGTAAGTAGCACGTTTGTTTTCATTCTCACAGCTACTAGCTGGAAGCTGGTGGCATCTGCAGGGACTGGGAGACTCCTGTGCTCCGCAGCAGAGCAGGAGTGAGCGTGGTGTCCATTGCGACTGGTTAGTGCAGGTCTAGGAGCCTCGGTGCAGGGAGGCAAGGGGAAGTCTGGAGGAGCAGGAGACAGAGTTCTACTTCCCCCTGGGTGCCAGGTCTCCGGCAGATCAGCTCTGGATCAGAGATTTTGGTCCTTGGCTGCAGCATGTATTGGAACATGGCCTGTAAAGGGGGAAAATGGGCCTGGGACCTTTTCTGGAGTTTTTAGGTTTTTTAAAGGAACCTGACAAGAGTCTTTGTCAAAGTGAGCCTGGGTCCGCATGCCAATTTCATTCCAGTTTAGCTGTCAGTCAGGGGTGCGATTTCATAGCAAAATAAATATACAGGCAGTCCCCGGGTTACGTACAAGATAGGGACTGTAGGTTTGTTCTTAATTTGAATCTGTATGTAAGTCGGAACTGGCGTCCAGATTCAGCCGCTGCTGAAACTGATCAGTTTCAACAGC